AAGTAAAAATTTATTAAATCTTTATTTTTTATATTGAAAAGTTTAAATATTTAAGTGAAAATTACGTTATATTTATTTATTTGATAAAACTTCACATTGTTCTTCCATTGAGTAATTCTCATATCTTTAATTCAAAACAATCAACGTCCAGGATAATTAGATGCAATTTTTAAATATCTTTCCAGTTTTTCATCTTTGTCATTTTCTTCCTCATCTTCAACAACACACCAAACTGAAGAAAGAAAAAATTAGTAAAAAAAAAAGATTATCAAAAATAAAAATAAATAATATTTGAATTAAATGAATTACCTTCATAAAAGTCGTGTTTCCAATTTGAAGTACAAATTATTGCTTTTACATAATAAATGAATCGTGAGAGAGAAAAATACTAAGAGAAAAAAAATTAAATCTTAAGAAAGTAACAAATATAAAATAGAGTAAAATAGTATGAGATATATATAATTTTTACCTTATGAAGAAGGATAAACAAGAAGAAGACGATGAGTAAGAGGAGAGGAGAGAGAGGGGTTTATGCTTGAGAAAGGAAAATATTTCCCATAATTAAGTTTAAGTAATTATAAAACTTTTTGAATTCTCTTAGTAGTGAGATATTGAAACTTTATGAATTCTCTTTATGAAACACTCGAGACTTTTAGAATTCTTTTTTCATCAATTTTTATATTATATATTGTCTTTATGACTCTTTATATTGTATCACAATAAAAAAAATTATTAGTAAAACATGTCGCGAGTTGGTCCGCCCTGCCCTACGGGTTGACGAGCTTAGTGGAGCGGGCCAAAATGGACTGAGGGCTGAATGTACTAACTCGCCTCACCGGGTCTAACCAATTTTGTCATCTCTATTCACTATCAAATAAAGTAAGAAGGAATGTGTGTTAATTACAATTATTAATGATCATGGTAAGATTGTTAATATTATATATATGTATTTGATACTATGATATATGATTCTATAAAGGTCATCAAATTAAATTACCTACAAAAAATGTATTTCTAACAAAATCCATGTTATTGAAAAAGAATATTTAATTCTGTTTTAGTTGCTTGTTCCTTAAACTTTAACATTTTATCTATTTGTCAAATAAATTGTTTTATCCTATGTGGTCATTTTTTGGCAAAGTTCTTGTCTTTTTAAAGACATCCATACAAAACAATGGGTTATATACTATGCAAGAACTTATATTATACAAAATAATTGGTGAATCATGTTATGTTTAGACGTGAATAATTTAAAAGAGGAGAAGTGCACATTGGCCCAAGGAGTGACATATCTTTATCATTGGTATTGAGGGGGTCAAATAATATATTATTAATAAATAATAAATAAATATGAAAGATTAAATAATATGAAAAAGTGAGATGTCAAATTTATAAATATACAATATATATATTTAATAATCATTAAATTTGGGGGACTAAAGTCATAAATACTAATATTAGTTACAAAACTTTGAGAATAATCATTAAATTTGAGATATCAAAATCATAAATATTAATTTAAGTTATACAATTTAGGGGTCATTACCCTTTCACCTCCTAAGACGTCCTGTCACTAGGCCCAAATGTAAGAGTCCAATTTTCTTTATCATAATGATAATAATCTAAAAAATTTTGAATTGTTGTAATAGGATTTCACAATTATAACCCTAATACATTTCAAAATACAGTACTTTGATATATTCTTATTACTATTATTTTATTATAATCTAAATTTTTGTTAGGGGACTAGAGTTTTCTTTATTTCACCTATTGTAATAAATATATTCTTAGTTAAAGTTATATTATCTACCTCAATGGTCTTTATCTATCGAAAGAAGATATAAGATAAAGTCCTATATCACCTAATGTCATTTGATTTTAAGTTGAAATCTCACCATTGAAAAAGATTTGTGATACTTGTAAACTTAGAAAAAGTTATAAAACTTTATAAAAATCTTCAAAGGAATGTTAGCAAAAATTATTCACTATTAAAGGAAGAATATTTTCTTTTTTATTCAATCACTCATACGAAATTTGTGATTTAAAAATAAAATGTATTGCCTTACCACTAATATTATTAAGTTGTGTCATAATGTTATATAAAAGATTATATCATAAATATTTTATTTTAGATAAATTTTTTAATTACTCATACAATAATGTTATTATTGTACATGATATGCAATGGAACAAATAAATATAAGATAAATTAACTTTCAATTATTTCTAAATACATATTTCTCACCTTCCATTATTATATGGATACACAAAATATGAATTTAAATGACAATACGAGATGGATGAACATATAATGATTTATTTTTCTCAAGTGTAATTGATTCTTTATTATTATTATTATTTTTTTTTCTTCATTAGACATCCAAACTATGATTACATCATTCATAAATATCATTAATTTCATATGACAAAATATATTTATTAAAAATATATTCTTTTTTTATGATATTCATCAATGATTATATTCTTAAAATTGTCATTACAAATTTATATTTCAAATATATTAAACATCACAAATTATTCCCAATTTGTCATCATGAGATATTAATATTACAAACTCAAAAATATTTGTAGTTTTATATATCATTTACTATCAAAAATTAAAGGAGATGGATGTTGTGATTTTGAAGAAAACTTAATATATTAAACCTTATGATTTTAATATTGATATAATTTCAATATTACCTTATATAATCAAATATGATATAAATATTTATTCAATATTTCTTTGATATAATATAAGTATTATGGAAAAATATTTCATGTAATACAAAATATTTAACTCTCTATAAAAAAAGCAAAAGGAACCCACTGAGTACAAAGAAAATTATCCTCAAACATATATGTGTATTAACCACACCACAAACATAAATTCATAGGTGATTCATATATGTTGCATTTAGCCTTAAGGTAAACATGACAGAGGTAATGAAACTCACGGAATATAAATTTAGTCAATCAAGTCATTAGGTTACAAGTCATACTTTCTTATATATTGTTCAACTTTCTCATTCTTACTCAATGTGATACTTAACTCACATTTGGATTACCAAACACTAAATAAGGTATAGATAATGAACCTCATCAATTATGCATTTAGTTATAAGCTAAAAAAGACGAAGGTAATGAAACTTGTCAAATATTATTTTAACCATAAGCAAGTTAGACATAATGAAATTTGTTAAATATTATTTTAACATGTTAGACATAGCCATCGCAGTACGTCATCACTAAATGTAGTTATTACAACATCATTATTGGATGTAGTTATCACAACACATTAAAACTAAACTTTTTGCTCCTAGACTCAAACCAAATTACCGATAGATATATAAAATTTTACCGATAGACTAACTTACCAACAGATATATCCATTGGTAATTTAATCCACAACAATTTTCACTCAACCCATGAACATTTCCGATGGTAAGTACCATCAATAATTAATTGTTAAATTACCAACGAATATATTCGTCGGTAAGACCAAATTCTACAAATACTTTATATCCCTCGGTAATCTCCATTGGTATTCACTCACTTGCCGACGACTTTAGATCCATCGATAATTATCCATCAGTAATTAATCATTTCATGTAGTGTAACTACAAGGAGGCAATAAGTAGCAAGGACAAGGTTATCATCATTAACATGGTGATGGGGAATAAGAAGGAAAATCGTGAGTTAACTAAGACAAATATTTTCTTTAATATGGTGATGATGATAACCTTCAATGGAAAAGAAAGAAATGAGAAAGAGTGAGCCTCATTTTCTTCGTTGGTTTCAGTAACTACATGATCAGTCCTACTCAAGGTTTACATTCTATCATTGAAGTTTATCCATATCGTTACCTCCATATGAGTGCAAGAGAAGAACCAAACTATATATGTATGTTTAACATAAATTTCCATGAAAGTTTTTTCTGTTTTCATTTAATTTTCTGTTCCTGTTTATCTTTTATTAATCAAATGTAATTTGGAGAAAAAAATTGATCATTTTATCAAGTTATCACATGATTTGCACCCTAATGATGTAGTGTGTATATATATATGAACCAAATTTAACAAACAAAAAATGTGATGTCATACAAGAAAACAAAAGGTAAATGCTACTCCAGTGTACAAAATAATTTACTCTGAAATTTTTTCGACTATATCTTACCCCGTACATATCTTCATGAATCAAGCCCGTTGACCCATAATTAATGTTAATCAGATAATAAACGATCCCACAAAACCGACCCAAAAGGCCCAAAGAGAGTAAACAAAAATTAGGGGGTCGGAGAACAATCACGACACTCTTTGACCACAATATTGACACCATGTGTGGGAAATTGAAGCACAAAAAATTTCTTTTTCTCACTTCCACACAATGGTCATGTGTAATACGCAGGCAAATTCCTAACGTGTGGGAGATAATCATGTCATGATTAAATGTGTGATGACAATGGTGGAACAACCACAAAAGCAACATGAGGAGGAAGCTTAGTTTCCAAACAAAGGTTGAGCTAGTGGTAGAATTGTTTCGTTTTGAGGAACGATTTGAGATTGGATTTGATCTTGCCAGTTCCATTGTGATGGTATTGAACGTGGAAGGATGCGTGAATGGGACGAATATCCACTGTATGGGATGTCGTCATATTATTATTATTATTATTATGATCATTTTTGTTATTATTATTATTATTATTATTATTATTATAAAAGTCTAACTCACTTGATGGCGATTGGTTATTTTATTATGAATATTAACCACAATTATGTCATACATAGGGCATTGTCTAATAAAAAGCGTATCATATCTATGTTTACCCGAAGGAGGACGCCTCAAAGATTTGAGAGGTTCGTCCTAAGGTCGGTCTATTCTACATGCGACTTTATCAGGTTGGATTTCGAAAAAACGGAAGCGACCCTATATGGGTGTGCTATTCTACAACGATTGCGACCTTATCATGTTGGATTTCGACAAAAAAAAATGTCCCCCATATGGGCGTGCTGTTCTACAACAACCGCAATCTTATCAGCTCAGATTTCGAAAAAATGGATGCCCTCCATAAGGGCGTGCTGTTTTACAATGGTCACGACCTTATCAGGTCAGATTCCAACAAAATGGACGTGACCTTATCAGGTCGGATTTCAACAAAATGGACGTGACCTAATTAGGTTGGATTTTGACAAAACAAACGTGACCATATATGGGTGTGTTGTTCTACAGTGGTTGTGACCTTATCAGATCGCATTTTGACAAAACAGACATCCTCCATATAGGTGTGTTATTGTACAATGATCGTGACCTTATTAGGTCGCATATTGACAAAACGGACGTGACCTTATATAGGCATGTTGTTTTACAATGGCTGCGACCTTATCATGTTGGATTTCAACAAAAAGGACACGACCCTATATGGGCACAATGTTCTATAACGATCACGACCTTATTAGGTTAGATCTTGACAAAATGGACGCAACCCCATATGGGCGTGCTATTCTACACCAAGCGCGACCCTATGAGGTTGGGAAATGCCACAATGGATGCAACCCTATGAGGTAGGTTTACAATGCAGTTCTATGAGGTCGAACCCTATGAGGTCGGACCCTGGAAGGTCAATTACCAATTGACCCTATGAGGTCAGACCTTGTGAGGTCGGTTTACAAAGTGACCCTATGAGGTTGGTTTTTTAACAACCATATGAGATCGATTCGTATTAGGACCTTATGATGTTGGGTCGTGATAGGTCGGTTTATGTACCTTATGAGGTCGGACCCTGGGAGGTCGTATTACCAATTGACCTTATGAGGTCAGACCCTGTGAGGTCGGTTTACAAAATGACCCTATGAAGTCGGTTTACAAAGTGACCCTATGAAGTCGAACCTTATGAGGTCAATTTTTTAACAACCATATAAGATTGATTCGTATTAGGACCCTATGAGGTCCAATCGTGACAGATTAGTTTATGTAGTAACTACAGTTTAGCATATTCACATGCAATATAATAACATCAAGGATTAATATAAAAATACGTGTGAACATTTAAGGCTCAGAGGATTGTGTAGTGTCTGGAATAACTCACTCTCCCATAATTCGATATTCAACCGAGCGTGTGTCACCCTAATATCTCACCGTTTCGCCGCAAATATCTCACCCGAATATATGTCCAGAGTTTACTCTTGAGAATGACGCTATCAAATAATAAAATCTAAATAAAATAGGTATTAGATTGAACCCGTACAAAGACTGAGCACCGAAAAAATTATAAAAATAATAAAGTCTTAGAGTTGACACTTGAAGTTAGGGACTATGTAGTGTACAAAATAATTTACTCCCTGAAATTTCGTCAAGGATATCTCACCCCGGACATATCTCCAAAAATCACTTCTATTGACCCATAATTAATATCAATCAGATAATAATCAATCTCACCAAACCAACCCAAAATACCCTAATAAAATTAGGCCTATAGCAGTGGCGGATCTTCTTGGGAGCTGAGAGGGGCCGTGACCCCCCCAAAGTTTTATAACTTTCATGTAGTTTATGATTTTGGCTCCCCCAAACTTAATAAACATTTAATATATTTACTTGTATATTTACAATTCTATCCTCTCAGCCCCTCCTCAATTTTGTAACCCCCATGTAATTTATGACTTTGTCTCCCTCAAACTTAATGATCATTTAATATATTTAAATATATATCTACAATTTTATCCTTTTACCCTTTCATCTTCTTTCTTCCTTTATATTTATTTATTATTTATTAATAATATATTATTTTATATTTATTTATTATTTATTAATAATATATTATTTGCCCCCCAAGATCAATGGTTAAAATCCGCCACTGGCCTATAGTCAGGAACAATTACGACAATTTTTTACCACAACCGCCACAAATAATTAATAAAATGATAAAGGTTAAAGATTCGTTTATCTTATTTCATGAAATACTCGAGATAAATACATTATATATTTTATTTTAAAAATTTGATTTAAAGTTTTATTGTTAAGAATGTCTAAAGTATTTAAGATTAATTTATTTTAAATATTTTTTTCTTATTTTTATTAATTTTATTTGAAGAAATAATATATGAATATTTTGATATTATATTTTTTTCATATTTTATTATTTATTTAAAAAAAATATTTTGAAGTTAAAGGGTGTCATAAGATAAGTCTTTCTTGGTGTATCAACTTTCATTTGAGAAAATTCAGAACTCCTTATTGTTTGCTTGTAATGTGTTTGTTGAATTATCCCAATCAGAATCATTTATAAGTGATAGTGACAATGGAGTAAGATTGAGACATTAGAGAAAATATTGTTATTTAGTAAGACGAAAGATTAATTGTAATTAAACAAATATCATTCCAATCTAATTTTCTATACACATTACAAAAAATTGTCGTCAATTAACAAGAGATATTTATGACAAAATTTATTTTTCACTAATAAATACCATAATAATAACTGAATAACGAAAAAAATAAAGTCGCTGTTACTCCTTAGTAAAAGTAAAACTTACAATACTAATATTTTTTTTATTTCTTCTCTAAATTAAAAAATAATTTAGCTAAAAATAATTTTTGTCATCAACCTCTTACTATCAATAATAAAATAATTAAAGAAAATAAATTTTAATTTTAGTGATGTTATCTTTCTCAAAATATTTTTTAACTAAATTGGTTGTACATTATCACTAAATTAGTGACGGAGGTAGTTTATTCAATCTTTCTCTGTGTCTTATGGCCTGAGGATGTTTATTACACATAAATGATATTTATCAAATTAGGAAATAAGATGAATGTTACTGTTTTAACATTAACATTTCTTTCTAATAAAATCTGTTTTATTTTATTATATTATTGAAAACATGTCTTCTTCTTTTTCATAAAAAGTAATAAATAAATATATATAATTTTTCAGAAAGATGACAATAGATAAAAAACGATAAAAAGACATTGAAGAGTAAAGAAACGGTAAGAGAAGATACATGAGGAAGGTGTAAGAAAAACTAAAAATATTCAAACCAAGAAATCCTACAAGAATTATTTCCTTCGTTTTCCAAACGGTGTGTGGTATTCTACCATCGCCACTCACCCATTCAAGCACAAATATCTGCTTCAGAAACACTCCCACCCACGCCATTTGTGCATCCGTTGCAGTATCTCGTGATAATGGTGAGGGTCAGTGTCCTGAATGATGCTCATAAGAGCATGTACAATACTGAAAAGAAAGCGAAGCACGTGGTCATGATTAGGCCATCCTCAAAAGTGATTATAGAATTCCTCTTGGTGACCCCAAAGCATGGGTATTTGGAGAGTTTGAACATGCTTCTGATGAGGCTATGTTGTTCTCAAATTTTGGGCTCTTACTTCCTCTACCCCCATAATTTCTTTTTATATCTTCATATCTCAAGTCAAATACTTAAAATATCTTTTTCATAATTTTATTTTTTACCTTAACTTTTTTTCTTCTATTTTCCTACAACTTCTGCGTCTCCATCCATTTTCTATTTGATTTTTTTATACTATCACCTCCATTAAATGTCTTTTCTAATCATTAAAGATAAGTAATTGTTAATATAATATATGAATTACATGGTCTGCACTCAAATTGCACAATCAGACCAAATTATTTAATCTAAAACAATTTTGCGAAAATGAGGTTGAATCATGAAAAATCCAATCCGAAAATACATTTTAGATTGGGTATTTCGGAATGTGTTTCTAAAAAGACCAATCCGAAAATGCATTCCGGATTAGTTTTTCTATAATGCGTTCCAAAAAATCCAATCCAGAAATGCATTTCAGATTGGGTGTTATGGAATGCATTTATGGAAAAACCAATCCAGAAATGTACTTCAGATTAGGTGTTCCAGATTGTATTTTCGAAAATGCCAATCTAAAAATGCATCCTGAATTGGATGTTCTGGAATGCATTTCTGAATTAGCTTTTTTAGAAATACACTTTGGAACACCTAATCCAGAATGTATTTTTGGATTGGCTTTTTCGAAACACTCAATCTGAAATATATGTTTAGAATGGGTGTTTTGAAATGTATTTTAAGAAAGGTAAATTCAGAATGCATTTAAAAGATGAAAATAAAGATAAGTATAAAGGTAAGATGAAGTTTAATTTGATTATGGAGTTGCAAGAATGAATTATGAGAGTGCAGGAAGCAAAAGCATTTTTCTCATGGCAACCCGAAAATTGAGTTTAGAAAAATATGTTATACGTTGGAACATTTTATTTTTTTGCTATTTATTAAATTTTGGGTTTGCATAGTTGTAATTATAAACTAATCTGTTTATTTTATTTTTGTCAATTTAAAATATTGTTAGCTAGTAAAATGATAATATAAAGAATAATTAAATAAATATTTAACAATAATATTTAAAGTCAATATATTTTCATTTTGAAATATTTAAGTTTATATATTTAAATTTGTTTTGTCTATTTTTAATTTAATATTTTATTAAAAATTTATAATATTATAATATTAGAAGTAGATAATATTCATCATATAAATATTTAATAATAAAATAAATTCATAAAATAAAATATATTTATGATTTTAATAATAATAATTTCCTTAAATATATTTCTATTTAATAACCATTATTAAAAATATCGTAATCATACTATCAATTTTATTATCATAAAAAAAAAGATAAATAGAATAAAATTAAAATTTATAAAATAATATAATTATATGAAACTTTAAATTATTTTAAAACTTGTAGAAGAACAAATATAATAATTAAAGAAAATAGCATTTTTATTAATTAAAACCATTTTAGATATATTTTTAATTTAATTTTTTAAAAAGCAGTTAAAATTACTTTGATAAACTTTGAATATAGTTATCTACAAAGTTTTTTTGGTATACAATAAATTTAGTTATTTATAAAATTAAAAATAAACACTTTAGGATAATTTTATTTTGGTAATTGTAATAAGAAATTAAATCAAAATTAAAAATTAAATTAAAATTTATTATTCATAAATATTTTCTATTAAAAGAATTACGTTATTCTAATTTTTCGTTACACTTATATGTAGAAATAAAAAAATCTCTATCAAACAAAAAATATTAAAAAATATATTATCTTTAAATTTAATAATAATATTTAATTTTTAAAATTATATATATATATAATATATAAAATAAAATATTTAAGTTAATATTAAAAAATAAAATAAATAATTTTTAAGGTATTTAATTTTTTTTATATTCAACCAAAATAACTGTTAAATGTCAACATTTCGTGTCTTAAATCTAAATTTTTATTTTGTATGTCACTTTTTTTTTATTTTTTTAAATATTTTTTTATGCCACTATTTTTAGTTTTTAAATTAATATTAATGACGATTTCATTTTTTTCATTTAAATTTATATTTTTTTCGTCTTCCTTGGTGCCGACATTAGTGGATGATAACACTGGCCACGAGCCTATGCCCTATTATAATAAATAAACTTATAAGTTATTTATTTATTTATTAAACACCTGAACTCAAAAGGTCATAATATGTTACATTTTTTATAAAAGAAAATATTGGATTTTAGATTATTTGGTAGGTAATTTTGAATTATACAATTATTTAATTTAGTTAATTCATTTATTATTTTTAAATAAAAAAAATATTTTTTCACATATTACTTTCATTTCATATGAATAAATGTTTTTTATCATATTTTTAATATTTTTCTCCTTACTTATATTATTTTAATCCAATAGATGTAAAGATCAGTGTTTTTATCTGGTGTTGGAATCGACGTGTTAAATCAATTAACGATGAAATTAAATATTTTTCCATAATTTTCCTGGGAACTAACATGACTCGAGCACAACCAATCTACGGTGACACTAAATCACACATCAAATATACAAATATACTTTGTTTATAATTAAGTAATTGGTAAAAAAAGATAGTTAATAAAATTTTAAACTTTGCATACTGGTCTACCTTTCTCAAAATGTTCAAGCTCAAATTTTGGTTACCACCAATTCAATTGAACAATCACATTTAAGGGGTGAACAGAATTATCGTTGGAATGTGTTTCCAAATTAACGCTTGTTGTTGTGACAAATTTGAATATGATATCTTGTATGATCCAAATAGTTTTGTTATGCTTCCCGCATTGTTTATAAATCAAAATTAAATATAGTTTATATATATATATATATATATATATATATATATATAATTTTTTTTTTTTCGTTTTAAAATTTATTTTAATGACAAAATTAAGATAAAATAGAGCTTCAAAGAGGATAATAGATCCTAACGATACGAGGATCATATTTAAGTAAATTAAGGGTAGAAGTGGTATAATAAAAATAAGTTTAAAGTTTTACCAAATAAATTAAAACAAATTATAAATATAAAAGTTAAATAATTCAAACTACATTTTCACAAAACCACCATTTCTCTACAACTCTCTTTTCTCTAACTTCTCTAAATTTTTCACTCTCTCATTTGTTTTTAGATCAAAGTATACCTTAGTGTTCCTAGAAGAGAGAAGATCATTTATACTATATCAAAATTTCGAATAAAGTAAGTTTCTCCTTTCCAAAATTTATATCATGTTTCTCCTTTCCATAGTACTCTAAGCTAGAAGAATTGGATGCGATAAGGTGACTTGATCTCATTGTTTGAGTTTCAGGAGATTGGGTTATGTGATTGTGCATGCGTTTATTGGTGATGATTTTATTGAATATGAATGGTAATTGATTTTTATAAGATTGAAAATGATAGTCTTTTGTAAGAATACATTGTTCTTAGATTGAATTTAATTAATTGATTACAATTTGGAGGGTAGCGTTTAAATTTAATTTGATTTGTAACATTAGAAGTAGAGTATTGAACACATTATTTAGTCTATTATTGTCATGAATCTACTTAATAGATCTAAATTCACTCAGCGAGTTTAAGGTAATGTTGAAAACACTTAAAATTTTCCTCTGCGCTCTCAGATTCCCCCAACAGATTTTGGGAAATATTGTATTCTGTCAAAATTTCACTCAACGGATTTGAAATTCGCTCAACGCTTTCAAATTTGCTCAGTTGTTTTAAAAAAAAAAAAATATATCTGAACTCTAAATTAAATGTTTTATATATGCAAATCGAAACCCCAGAAATAAAGAATCCAATAAAATTAAAATTAGTTAAAAATGATGTTTGTAGAAAAATTTATGATCAAAAGAATGGGTAGAGCTCGAATTAAGAATCCAATAAAATCAAAATTAGTTAAAAAGGATGTTTGTAGAAAAATTTATGATCAAAAGAATGGGTAGAGCTCGAATCGAAAAAAAATATATTTTGATACAATGTGAGAAATTTATATATATATATATATATATATATATACACACACACACACCTTAAGCTTTTAAAATATATGTTATGAACATGAAATGAGGTGTGTTAAATATTATTATGTTCCTTGAAAAATATTGTGTTGTGATATGAGAATTACCAAGGTTATCCTCATATGTGTAATGTTGCATGTATAAATATTAATTTGGAACTCGAAGAGATACTCTGTACTGATTCCTAGAATCATATAAATAAAAGGATCAAGTGGTGAAAGTTAAAGGAGGTTTCTAATGATTTAGCTTGCAATGTGAAAAAGAGTTGTGTCTTGATAAGTCATTTAACAATGTGTATATACCAAACTGAGCACCTTTATGTTATATACTTGGGGAATTGTGGTGTGATAGGTGCAAATGTCTGATGTTTATTTCAATATCTAGTCTTTTGAAAGTCATCTAGTTTTTGTGTGACGTAAATATGAGCCTTTATGGGCGTATGACGTGATATATGAAAACTTGAAGTTGAATTATATTGTTTTATCTCACATTTGAATTTTGCATACTTAAATTGAATTACTAGTTTACCCTGTGTATTTTGTATGTTACTTTGAACTGTGATGATTTTATGTTTACACATGAGCAAAATTTACAGTAATAGACTTTAACAAGAGTAGGTTTGGAGCTAGGAGTAATATAAATTTATATTTTGTTTACTTTTAAGGTGAAAGATATGTATGTATATATTTTCCTATCCAGAGGAAATTTATATTTTGAATTACTCTATGTATTTTAAGTATAAATCTATGGTATAAAAAGGTTTAGGTTATTACAAACGATATTATATATCATAGTAAACATGAAACGAGACATTTTTATTCATAGA